ACAGAGTCTCGCTCTGTCACCCAGGCTGGAGTGCAGTGGCGTGATCTTGGCTCACTGCAACCTCCACCTCCTGGGTTCAAATGATTCTCCTGCCTCAGCCTCCCAACTAGCTGCGACTACTGGCGCCTGCCACCACAGCTGGCTAATTTTTTTTTTTTTTTTTTTGAGACAGAATCTCGCTCTCTTGCCCAGGCTGGAGTGCAATGGCATGATCTCAGCTCACTGCAACCTCCGCCTCCCAGGTTCAAGTGATTCTTCTGCCTCAGTCTCCCAATTAGCTGGGATTACAGGCACCCGCCATCATGCCCAGCTAATTTTTGTACTTTTGTAGAGATGGGGTTTCACCATGTTGGTCAGGCTGGTCTCGAACTCCTGACCTCAGGTGATCCACCCATCTCGGCCTCCCAAAGTGCTGGGATTACAGACGTGAGCCACTATGCCCAGCTGCTAATTTTTGTATTTTTAGTAGAGACAGGGTTTCACCATACTGGCCAGGCTGGTCTCAAACTCCTGACCTTCTGATCCACCCACCTTGGCCTCCCAAAGTTCTGGGATTACAGATGTGAGCCACTGCGCCCAGCCCTACTGGACCATATTTTTGTATCTTTTTATAAAAATGATATTTTACTGTGTAATTATCTTGTATTACCTACTCCAAAAAACTACTGTAAAAGACTGAGGTAGATTTAAACTTATTTACATGGAGATATGTCAATGATGAAGTGAAAAAAAGCAAATTTCAGCATGGCCTCGTTTTGTTAACGAAAGAAATAAAATGCATATGTATGCATGCATATGTGTGGTCATGCATGTGTAACCTGGAGCAAAGTACAGGAGGCAGCACATCCAACTTGTTCAAAGTAGTTGCCCCTGGTGAGTGGCTGAGGAAGAGCTCCCTTTTTTACCCACTTTGGTTCCTTTATTGGATTAAATTATAAAATTCAATTGCATGCAATTACATGGCATGTAATAATGCAAACAATTCAGATGAAAAAAAGGAGTTAGTAATCTCTCCCCATCCAGCCACTCCCCTGAGGAAAGCAATGTTAATCTGCAGTCTGATATTTTTTGCCTTTCTCTATGCTCATACCAGCCTATGGAAATAATGTATGCATAAGTGTGTGTGTGTGCACGTGCACATGCGTGTGTGTGTGTTAAGCTGAAAAACAGCCCTCCAAAAGATATCCAGATCCTAATCCCTGCAGCCTGTGGATATTATTACATGGCAAAAAGGGTTTTGCAGATGTGATTAAGTTAGGGATCTTGAGATAGGGATACTGTCCCTGGTTATTTGAGTGAGCCCTAAATGTAATCACAAGGGTCCTTATAGACAGAGGCAAGGTCAAAGGAGGAAGTAGGAAATGTAACAGTGGAAGCGAGTGGTTGGAGTGATGTGAGGAAGGGGTCAAAAGGCAAGGGATACAGGCAACCTCTAAAGCCGAACAGTCAAGGAAATGGGTTCTCTCCTAGAGCCTCCAGAAGGAACAAGCCCTGCTGACACCTTGGCTTTAGCCAGTGAGACTGATTTTCGACTTCTGGCCTCCAGAACTAGAAGAGAATATATTTATGTTTTAAGCCACCAAGTTTGTGGTGATTTGTTACAGCAGCAACAGAAAACTAATACAATGTGTATGTACATATATATTTTTTGTGCTTTTTTTTATAAAAGTGAAACACACTTTACCTAATTGCCTATAGTTTACCTATTTCACTTAACATAGATCAATGAACATCTCTCTTGATCTAAATCTTTCACTAGCTACAAAACATTTCATATTGTGAATAGACCAATTTTTCAACCATTCCTCCACCGATAAGCATTCAGATTACTTCCAGCTCTGGGCCACTAGAAACTCTGCTAATTAACATCCTTGCTTTTGGATACAACCCACTGGTGCTTTTATTTCTGTAGGATAGATGCATGAAAGTGAGCATTGCAGGTCAAAGAGAAGACATATTTTAAATTGTAAATGTTTTACTTTACATATTTTCTGTAGTGTTTAATTCCAGTAAATATACATTACATTTATAATGAAGACTATGTACAGAAAGTTAAAAAGTCACAGCCGTGGGTCATCTTGCATCAAACATGGCTAGAGAAGGCCTGTTTGCTCTTATTCTGCAGAAGAACATGGGGCAAGGATGGCTGTGGCCCCCACACTTGGTTTCAGACATAGTCAACACTCATTTCCCAGGTCCCGGCTCTCCTCTCACTTCCTGGTACCCGTGCCCTTTGGCCACTGGGATCCTGGCACATAAGTGATAGCCAGCTCTTCTGGGGCTGGGCAGTCCACTGGGTCATCACTGCCAAGGACACTCAGATAGACAAGTTGAAGCTAGCTGGGGACAAATACAGCCTGGAGCCTGTAAAATGCAAGAGTCTCAAATATTTGCCCATCTCGCATGGGAGCCTGGAACCTGGAGTATGGGTTCTGGTCTCAGATTCACCCATGCCTTGTTCTGCAACCTTGGCCTTGTTGCTCAAAATGTCTGGCTTGGAACTGCTCTCTCTCCCTTTCTTTCTTCTTCATCTTGGTTCTAACAGACCCTCCTCTCATGGCATAGCCTACTGGAGACACTCATCCAAGAGAGAGTAAAGCCCCGTCCCTAATCCAGCTCCTGTGTGTGACTGATGGCACCGGAGCCTGGGGTGTATGCCTGTCACTGTGTCCAAGCCCTCTTCAGTTCCAAGGAATCATCTCAACCAGCAGACAACACAGAACAAAGGGCAAGGATCCCAGCTCTGCATCCTCAGCTTGGTCAATGGCCTGATCTGGGGGCTGGGAGACAGGCTGTGGCCCTGTTGTGCTCAGGCAAGTTGATCCTTCTCTGAGCCCATTTTCCCATCTGTAAAATGGGGCTTACAATCATGGCCTTGTGACATCACAGAACTACCATGAGGTTCAAACAAATGAATGAAACAGATCACATGTTGAGGAATATACAGCACTGGGCACATTTGAGGATTCTCATTCATCAGAAAATGTAAGTATGGAGCATGCTAGAGTCTAAGACTTGCCCATAGTACGATAATACACAGCTTATAAATGAAAGACTCCAGAAGGAGCGTAGTGATTCAGGGAATCTAATTCCAACCCCTGCTGTCCAAAGGAGCTTAAGAGACTTGCCCTTCGATCCCACAGCAAGTCCTGAGCCAAGCTGAGCAGGAGACCAGAAGCTGAGACCACTGCTTCCAGAGGTTACAACATCGTAACTGCTTTTCCTCCCCCGTTTACTTTAAGAAGAACTTGGCAGCCCCTGAGACAAACATGCTGCTGGAAATGAAAAGAAAGACTTTGAACTTATGCAAACATTTGGCCCAGAACATACCAATTTGGCATCAATGCATTCTCCTTGTCCCTGAACATGATTCCGACATTGGTAGCATGCTGCCGAGAGGAATAGAAGTCTGTGTAGTCTCCTGCAGAGGAGAGACCCAAGAGATCCCATCAGCAACCCAGATGCCTCAGGAAAGAGAATGCACTGTTCTAAGCACTGGAGCCATGAGTGTGCACACAATACTGTTTACACATCCAGAGCTCAGCCTGCAGCCAGCAGTGACAGCACCAAATGCAATACAAAATATCCTCACTGAAGATTTGTTCTGAGAGCCCTCAGCTGAGAAGCAAATAAGAAATTAGGAGTCCAGACTTTCTGAAACTGACAGTGGAATGTGAACACCAAGTGGCTGACACCACCCCCCTTCTCAGGCTCCCCACTTTTACCACACACAACTGCCATTCCCGAGTTCCCACAGGCTCCCTCACCACGCGTATACTGACTGACTGCTCCTTTGTCCTGTGTGTTCAAATCCTGGCAACTCTTTGAGGCCCCCTCCTCCCTGAGGCCTTCCCTGCTCTCTCTAGCAGGATCTCTTGCCCCTCCAAATCCCCTCCCCTGAATCCTTCTGGGGCAGGCTTTGCTTCCCACTGGTGCTCCAGTTATGTGTGTGCACATCTTTGCTAGACTGTGGACATTCCAGGACAGCCCCAGCCCAGTCCTCATTTTCTTGGACTCTGCCCAAGTGCCAAGGACAAGGGTGTGCACGCTGCAGATGCATATCAGTGCCTGTTGATTATGATGAACTGAACGGGCTGGCCAGCAAGCTGTAGGCATATCTACCATTCGGAGAATTAAAAATCTGAAAGAAAAACCAGTTGGGACAGTCTGCCTGTTTTATCTTCCTAAATGTCTCCTCGTCTCCTCAAAGAAAAAAAAAAAAAGCTGGGTATTCATCAATATCAACAGCCTAGACTAGCAACAGTCATGGTGAAGGGTGAGGAGAGGAAGAAAAGTCCACAGGGCAGGTGGAGCCTTAGCTGCTGCTTCCCATCTTCGGTCCCAATGCACAGAAGTAATAGCTGAGAGATTTTTCAAAAGAATAATTCCATAACAAAAAATAATAATAATAACAAGAAAGAGCACCATCAGTCAACCAAACATGATGAGGAATCCCTGAAAGACATATGGTTTGCACAACAGCTGGTTTGCCAAAAAATAGCACAGTCCCATGAGTGCGTGAGGGTAGGGAGTGAGAGGGGCTGGGAGGAGGCAGGTGACTCAGCCCCTGTCCCCAGTCCCATCCTCCAGTCAGCTTAGCCCAAGCAGCCCAGCAGCAAAGGACTCTCCCCGGACAGCAAGAGCTGTTCCAGAGAGGCAGTGTACCCCAGGGCAGCGTCAACCGGCTCCTCAGCTTACAGGTGCCCGGGTAACCCAGCTGAGGAGGCCTGTGCACAAGGAAGAGGGCTGCGCTTTGGGCCGCAGGCTGAACCAGCCTCTCTCTGCTTCAGGTTGAGAGTTTCAACAGCTCCAACTTCCTGAATGACGCTCCAACCAGACATCCTGCCACGTGCTCAAACTGGGGCCCTTCATAACCCTCTGGCGTCTTTCTTCAAAACTGCTCACAGACTGAGCTCAGAGAACTTGTCCCATAGCCTTTTGGGGAAGGAGAGCAATTTGCTGAATCCTTCTGGGGCAGGCTTGTAGCTGAATCCTTCTGCAGGGAGCCATGTAGCTAGTCATGAACTTGACCAGCCTGCAACTCACTACCTGAGCCAAGATATAGCCTGAGTGAATGCCGGGCTTGGGTGCTGAGAAAGGTCAGTGATGAGGAGGGGGTAACAGCCCCAGAGCCCCTCTATCTCCCCGCCCCCAGCAGGGACCCTGCACCCAGATGCAGAATCAAAGCACCTGGCCAGCCCTCTTGGCCCATGAAGCTGCTCCGTTCTTGCCTTGGTGAAGTGCCTGCACTCACCTATGGTGGCTGGAAGGTGCATCGTGGCAGAAGCCTGGGAGATGAATGCACTGAAACACAGAACCAGGGGCTTCAAAGTCAAGCAGGCAGCAAAGCGCGGTCCCACCCACAGGCTCAGTCCAGACCATCCCCAAGATTATCCACAGTCTCCAGTGGGCACCTCCTGGCTGGCCTGGGGCCAGAGCTATGCTGTACCTTTCACAGCTGAGAGGACATCCACCCACTGAAGCCGTCTCTATATTCTACCCTAGGAAATGGGACACGTGGAAACTCTTTCCTACTCTAGGAACCAGATGAGGGCACAGATGATGCTAATGAGGACCGGCTGAGTAAGACAGAGGGCCAATGGGCCTGGCCTGGCCTAGCTCGGGCAGCTCCAGTCCAGGTACCAAGGCAATCCCAGTCCTCCCAAAGCCCTCCCATCAATATGCAGCTCAGGCAGGGGCTGTATGGGGGCAGGTCTCACTTGACCACACTAAGGCTGCCGAGCTGTGACTCAGAATGGCACTGACCACCACACAGCCCTCATCTCCCCTGCTGCATCTCCTCATCACCTCCATGACCACGTGCTTCTCACCGCTTCCGAAGTTCAGTGTCATCTCTGAGTCTGGCTTGGCTCACAGACAGCAAGTTCTGCAAGAACACTCTCGCCTCCTTCCAGGCAGCCTGACCAAGGCCCATGAAGCTGTTGAGCATAGGCTAAGACCAAAACATGGAGAAAGAAGATTACGCACAGGAAAACCCAGGGAGTATCCCTCCTGCCAATGGGAGGCCAGCCAGCTTGCCTGCCCCTTCTCTCCCATTCACTCAAACTCTCAGGACCTCTGCTCTTAGTTTTGTCATCTATTCATCAAGCTGGAGAAAAGCATATCCTCTCTTGACGTTGCCTCATGCCCTCCTGCACCTGCACACAAGCCCAGGAGCTGCTACCTGGCACAGCAACTGTGCTAAACTTGGCCCAGCCCACAGTTGAAGGTGGCCATGTTCTTCCAGTAGAGGCACACTCCAATCTGCAGAGTAATCACAGCCTAAACTAATTCCTTTCACATCAGTTAAGAAGATGTTTTGGGCTGGGTGTGATGGCTCATGCCTATAATCCCAGCACATTGGGAGGCCGAGTTGGAGGATCACTTGAGCCCAGGAGTTCAAGATCAGCCTGGGCAATATAGTGAGACTTCATCTCTATTTAAAAAAAACATTTCCACTCTGTCACCCAGGCTGGAGTGCACTGATGTGATCTCGGCTCACTGCAACCTCTGCTTCCCAGGTTCAAGCAATTCTCCTGCCTCAGCCTCCTGAGTAGCTGGGATCATAGGCGTGCACCACCACGCCCAGCTAATTTTTGTATTTTTAGTAGAGAGAGGGTTTCACTATGTTGGCCAGGCTGGTCTTGAACTCCTGATCTCAAGTGATCCACCCGCCTCAGCCTCACAAAGTGCTGGGATTACAGGTGTGAGCCACCATGCCCGGTCAAGAGCTTTTCTAATTTAAAAAAAGAAGAGGTTTTGTAGCCAGTGAGGCATAGCAGAAAAAGCCGTTGTAGGTTCTAAGAGTCAGAGTTCCAGCTCCAGCTCTGATACTTTTAGCTGTAGAGCTTGGGAAAACAGTGTCTCATTCCAGAATTTCAGGTCCCCGTCTAGATGCTCAGGCCCCCATAGGAATTCCAATTCCTATGCCAGAGGGTGGTCAGGAGGATTGAAGGAGAGGATGTGTGTGAAGCTCCTGGCACACAAGAGGTACCCATAAATCCCACCCTCCTTCCTGACCCATGCAATGACAAGATGCTATATCAAAGTAGCTGACCATTTACAGGGAAGCAAATTCATGTCCATCCCACGTGAACACGTACTTCAGGCTGACTCCTCCATGGCTGCTTCCACAGAACTGGAGGGCAGGCCTCGTAGCTCCCTCCCTTGGGGGCCCACACAGCCCTTGGACAGGCAGAGGCTCAAACAGCTTGACAAGGAAAGTAACCAGAGTTCCTGAAGAGCTTCACCTCAGAGACAACTGGAAACGACCCAGGACTGCAGACATTGGACTTTTTTCACCTAGGAACTCACCCTGAGGTGAGAAGCCACCGTGAATTATCCCAAGGCCACCTCCTACCAGCTTGTCTGTCTCAAAACAACCCCAACCTTATCCAAGTATAACTTCTGAGACCTCTGATGGCATTACCTTTATCGATAATGGAACGCAAGGAGCATTCTCTTTTTGGCATCTGCAGTGCCACTGAGGTTAGGAACAAGCCGTTTCACAATGTCCTACCTGATTGAAGACATCCTGGTGTTTGGAGAGGACAGGCCCAGTAAAGAGGTGCTTGATGACGCTGAGGTCCAGGATCTGGTCGCCAATGGCCACGCCTATCCTCAGTCTTGGCTAGGAGGAAGATGACATGGTCAGCACCAGAAAAAGTCCCTGACTGGGCTTGGCTCATTTCCTTAGAAAGCCTGCCTATTGAAGAGGCCATGGGTCCCCCTTTAGGTGGCCCTGTGTACAGAGCGGACTGAAGAACCACCTTCTCAGCATCCTGCCCCAGCTCCCTTGTGCCATCTCTGCTTCCAGGACTAAATGGAAAAGAATCTGTGTTCCCTGAATGGGAAATAAATCAAATATCCCTTGGACTAGGGGAAGAGCAGTCAGCCTGGTCCTAGCCACTTAACATGACCAAAGTCCCCTGCAAAGTTCCCTAGGCATTACATAAATGCCTCCAGTGACGAGGAGCTCACCACCTTACCAGGATGTTGGATTATTTTCCAGGTTTAACCTAGGCCTTGGCTCAGGGTAATTCAGTTGTGCAGTGGAGCAGTGAGTGCCCGATGCACAGTGCTGAGGGCCAGGTGGCTTGGATTAATGAGCTCTGTTGTGGCTCAAATGGAGGAGAGCTCAGGTTATAAGGGAGCTGCAGGAAGCCAGACTGCTCAGAACATGCAAGGGAAGTTCCTTTCTGCACCACAAAATCCCAGCATCAGCAAACATGTCTTAAATATTTGTTAAGGCCTGGTCTTTGTCCCCACAACCCTGAGCTTTGCTCGTCAACAAGAACCAGAGGGCATGTTTGCAGACTCAACTTCCTGGTGCTCTGTCCTGAGTCAGGCTTCCAGCTCTCCTGAACCACCAGCTTGGCCATTTCAGTGCCAGCGAGCTTAGTGGTGGGATTATTGGCTGGCCTTATCTCCATCGACTGCTCACTGGGGTGGGCTGAGAAAAGATGGCCATTTCTCCATGCATGTCAGCTCTTGGGACCGGGGTAGAGCAGAGCCACAATCCTCACCTGAGGTCCCAGCAGAGCCTACCCTAGAAGAGGCTGCCCGGAGAGCTTAGCTACCCATTATCAGCCCCGCTGCCAACTCCCTGTGCCTCAGTCTTCCCCTCCTGAAAATGGAAAATCTGCTGCAGTAGGCAAAGAGCTGAACCACCTGGATCCAAGTGGTTTTCCATTCAGGGAATGTGCAGGTCAGACCCGTGGACCACATCTCTGACCCTGGTCCCCACACCCAGCTAAAGGCAAGAAGGAGCCACCACCAGTAAGCAACCTCCAAAATGGGGTCACAAGTGCAGCTGCCTGATGCCTCAAATGCAAACAAAGCATAGAAGCTTCAAACTTGTGCTTCAAACTATGACCTGAGGACCCAGAAAAAGTCTGAGAGAGTGAGTACCCTCTACTTTTAACTTTGGGAGTTATTTTCTTCAGCACAAAACTAGAAGGGGCTCACAAGTCGGATCCAGGATTCCTGGGCTCCAAGTGTGTTCCCTCATTCACCATCTTATCATCTTGGACAAGTCCCTGGTCGTCTCTGGGCCTCAGTTTCCCATATGCAACTTGAGGGAAACAAACCAAGGAGGGAGACTCCATTTGTCTAACTTCAAGAGAAAAATGTGCATTCCCTCTGTTTTAAAACAGTTGGTCATATCTGATATAAAGTTTTCCAAGGGAAAGCATTACCCAACTCCCAGCCTGACATAGAGGGGGAAGTATGGGATTGGTGTGGGCAAAGGATTACCCAGGTGCCGAGGCAAGAGACTGAAGGCACAACTGTAGCTATACTGCTATACAGTTATAATACAAATTAGATATACAGATGATCATGGACAATTATCAATCATTACTATAAACATTATTAATCATTAGCTTTTAATAGTACTTTTTGTTGCATTACTAATATAACCTAGGAATAACCGGTGGGTATAGGGTGAGATACTGAAGGGACATTGTGAGAAGTGACCAAGAAGGCAAGAGGTGAGCCCTCTGTCACACCCGCATAAGGGCCGCTTGAGGACTCCTTGGTCAAGCGGTAACGCCAGTGTCTGGGAAGGCACCCATTACTTAGCAGACCACGAAAGGGAGTCTCCTTTCCTTGGCGGAGTCAGGAAACACTCTGCTCCACCAGTTTCTTGTGGGAGGCCGGATATTATCCAGGCCTGCCCGCAGTCATCTGGAGGCCTAAACCCCTCCCTGTGGTGCTGTGCTTCAATGGTCACACTCCTTGTCCACTTTCATGTTCCTCCCATACTCCTGGTTCCTCTTTGAAGTTCTTAGAAGATAGCCGTAGAGGAAATAGCGAAAGTCTTAAAGTCTTTGATCTTTCTTATAAGTGAATAGAAGAAAACGCTGACGTATGCTGCCTTCCCTCTCTGGCTGTGGCTACCTGAAAGGGAAGGGCCCACTGTCCCATGATCACGTGACTTGCCTGACCTTATCAATCACTTGGACGATTCGCCTCCTTACCCTGCCCCTCTTGTCTTGTATGCAATAAATATCAGTGCACCCAGCCATTCGGGGCCACTACCGGTCTCCGCGTCTTGGTGGTAGTGGTCCCCCGGGTCCAGTTGTTTTCTCTTTATCTCTTTGTCTTGTGTCTTTACTTCTTACAATCTCTCGTTTCCACACACGGGGAGAACACCCGCTAAGCCCCGTAGGGCTGGACCCTACAGATTGGGAGGCTGACAGATGTGGGGATCAACCCCATATCTGTCTCTTACTGGCTGTGAGATCTGGAGCATGATGCTTTGCCTCTCTGGGCCTCAGTTTCCTCATCTGTAGAATGGGGACAATAACTTCACAGTAGTTTTATTGTGAGAATTTGATTAATATCTATAAATCTCTCACCACAAGAACAGACACAGGGTAGACGCTATTCATGCCACAAACATTTAGAAAGCATCTTCTCAGTACCAGCACTACACAAAGGCTGCTGAGGTCCTGGGAACAGTGACTTGGTTCCTTCTCTCCAGAAGCAAAAGGAAACACAGGGTGTGGTGAGAGACAACAAAGGCTGGGCAGCAGCTGGGAGCTCTTTCAGAGAGAGTGCTTAGGAGGTGACATTTAAGCTGAGTCCCAAAGAGTGAGAAGGGGCCAAGCATATAGAGAGCAGAGGGACGAGTATTCCAGGCAGAAGGAACAACATGTGCTAAGGCCCGAAGGCAGGAAGCTGCTCTTAGCATGTCTCAGAGACTCAAAGGCAGCCAGTGTGGCTGGAGAGAGCAGAGGCCAGGAGGCAGTGGCAGGGCCAGACCCCAGGGACTTTAAGAAGGCACCCGGCAAACCAGCTCCACACTACTACAATCTCGTTCTCAGAGGCCACCACCCCTACCTTCACAGAGAGCACCCCATATGCCTTACTAGTCCATGAGCAACCAGAAATGAAAGGAAGGCATCTCCTGTGTCTTTGATCCCAACTCACAGCCCAGGCAGTCTGGACCACAGTTGGGGTTTGTAAGCATTGGCTGAATAAAAAAATGAATAAAGTGATGACTGCGTTCATTGTTATTCCACTCAAATTAGGAAGGGCTGACTGCTGACATGGGGGAAGGGAGGTTTTGCCTTGGCAACTAGTCTTGCCTGGCAAGGCAGCCATCACCGTTGGAATGTCCAGTGCCTGCAGAGAAAGTTTCAGATGAGGCTTGTTCAGCTGGACGGCCAAAGGGCCAACTCTCCACCCCCAGCACTCTATCAGAGGACAGGGGGATGGGGCTCTCTCTCCCAGACATCTGTAGTGGCTGCCCTGCACATGCTGATGTTGAAACAGCAGGACATGGTGTCTGAAAGCCCCTAGCCACACTCTAAGGGACATTAATTCGATTCCCCTGAGAAAGCAAGTCAGAGCACCCTACTGGGGTGTGCCTGCCTCTCACAAATGTTTCTGTCTAATGGATTTGTGCTCCAGGAAAGGTGAGGGAGGACACACCTGCTGAGGGCAAAGTGTTTGAGGACGGCAGAGGAAGGGCTTTGTCTGCAGAAAGGTTGTTGGCCATCACAGGTTAAGGTTTAATGTGCCTCAAATTGTGTCCTCCAGGGGATTTAGTGTCCACTTTCTGTGTCCTTGCAACATCTGGTCAGCCTGGCCAGATATGAAACCACAAGTTGACTCTTCTAGACCAAAGTACTCACTGCAGACAGGCCCATAAAAGGCCAGCCACTTGCCTCCAATGACAAGCCATGGGGGAAGGAGGGAACCCCACTTTCCAGGAAGAAGCCAACTGCCAAGCCCCTCGTTTAGCAAACATTTCCTGATTCTGGGGTTCTATGGCTTACAGAGCTGAATCAGAAGTGTACCTTTAAAGTTGGGAGCAAAAATCTAAGCCAAAAATATCATCAACAAATCCAAGGGAATCTGCTTTTCCAACCTAGGGACCCTCTTATTATCTATTTGCTGATAAACCTCCAGTTTTCAAACACTTATTTCTACCAATCAGACTACACTGACTTAGTCAAAGTTTGTTTCCCTGCCCTCTTTCTTCTGATCAGTGGGGGAATGCCAGGCAGCCCACACCAGGAGCTGAAAGAATTCCAGCAACAGGCAGAGAGAGACACTTGCCATCTTAGATCGCACAGCTCTAAGACAGGACATGCGCGTCCCCCTCTGAGCTGCTACGCATACCGGGTTATCATTTCCTGGGTTCTAGGGTTAGGGGCTATCCAGTGAGATGAACCACCAGCCTCTTGGGCAAGAGAAACACACCGCAACCGCCTCGGAGTAGGCAGCATGCCTGCGTACTGCAGCTTCCGGTAACAGAATCCTGCTTGCTCTGCTTGTCTGGGGGAGTGACACTATTCATTTCATTTTGCATTTAATTCTCAGCAAACCTGAGGACACTGAGGCTGAAAAGTCAAATAATGTGCACAACTAGAAAGTTACGAGGTGGGACTCCAGCCCACAGGCACTCTCACGGAACGGATCTTAAGAGAAAAATGACCCAAGCCTCCATCCCGCCCCTCATTCCACTCCATTCCACTCCATTCCACTGCACTCCACTCCACTCCCTCCCCGCGCCCGGAAGCCGAAGCCCCACTGCTCACGTCGCCTCTGGTGGAGAAGACGCCGTAGGGCAGGTTGTGGATGGGGAAGTCGGAATCCTCGGCCACCGGGATGAAGGACATGCTGACGAGCACCCGGCACGGCTGCGGGCCTAAGGTGGCGTGCGGAAAGTGGGACTGAACTCTGCCGCCGTGGTCAGGCCCGGCCCCGCCCCCCCGGCCCACCCTCACGGCCTGTCCGGGTGGCACAGCAGGGACCCCGGAGGCTCCTGCCTGATTTTGATCTCACCGTAAACAACCCGCCCCCGAACCCTGAACCCTGCCCCTTCCCTACCCTGACCTCCTTGAGCTCCAGGTCCTCCACAGTCCCGCCTTCTCTTCCAGAGCCCCGCCCCTCCCCTGGCCCCGCCCCTGTCCTGATCCCCTCCCCATCCGCGAGTCCACATCGGGGAGATCTGGTTCCAGCCTGCGCTCGTGGCAGCTGGTCCTATCGAGAGCAAACCCTAGCTTAGCAGTTAAGGCTCTGCCCTGCATGACTCCAGCCTCGCTCGCCCCAGCTGCTGCCCTGCTCTTCAGCTCAACAGAACTCTTGTCCGCTTCCGGGAAACAGACACTTTCTCCCCAGGAGCTGCTTCCTGAGCTTCAGAAGAATACCCAGTCGCGTCCTTTCTCCCTGCATACCACGCTGCTCCGTCCAGCTATGACACTTCCACTTGTGTTTCAGAGAACGGAACAGTTACGCCTGTTTGGAAGGCTTCAATTAATGAGAATTAATATTCTAAAAAATATAACTCATCTGTTTCACATGCCGGTAGTAAAATGACGTTGACAAACTGCTCAACCTTGGACAAGTTACTTAAACTTTCTATACCTCAGCTTCCTTCTCTGTATAATGTTGATGATAATAGTTCCTACTTCCCAAAATTAATATGAGAATGGAATGAATTAATATTTGTGAAGCACCTAGAATAATGCCTGGCATACAGAGATTATGTGTGTGTGGAAAGAGAGAAAAGGGAGGAAAGAAGAGGAAAGGAAGGGAGGGGGATAAAGGAAAGGAAAGGAAAGAAAAAAGAGAAATAGGAAAGGAGAGAGAGGGAGAAAGAAAAGGAGGAAGGCAGGAAAGAAGGGAAAGGCAGACTATCTTAGGGTGGGTTCAAGGTGTTAATCTAATCACTCATGTGCAGTCAGCTGCAGTTTTTTGAGACCACGCCACAGCCAGGACACTTGGAACACACCAGAGAGTGTGCTGTTGTGTTATTGTTGGTGTGAATGATTCAGGTACACTTTTAAACAGCCAGGAGGCCGGCTGAAATCTAGAAAAGTAGACGATAGTCTGGGCAAGGGTTCCCTGAAGATTCTTGAGGAATGTGACACGGTGACTGCTGAGTTAGAGAGGCTGCTCTGCATTTCAGCTTAGGGAGAAGAGGCTGGAAGATGGCAGGATAATGTGAGTTAAGTGGGCCTGAAACCAGAAGGCTTGAGAGGAGCAAGTACGGCAAGCAGGGCCCGCTGTTGAGCCCCCCTTCCTAGCCCCTGAGATCACTCTGGTGCCTGTCCACCAGGCATGACCAGTGATCATCACCTAGTAAGGAGCACAGTCTGGGCACAGCCTCTTGGCTCTCATCTCCTGCCCTGAGTGGCTCTGCCAAGGACTCGCTTCAATTCTTTTAAGTCAGCCCTGGGGAAGGAATGAAGGTGGTCTGACTTGTTCTGGTAGGTTCCTGAAAGAGGAAAAGAAGAGGGGAGTATCCCAACTTGGTGGCCTTATAAAGAGGCATTCCAGGCAGCACTTGATACTTGCCTAATTTAAGCTGCTCCTCAGCTGCAAGGCAATGAATTATTTTCACGTTCTGTAGTTGCCCTGCCACTTCCCATTAAAACCACGAGCTTTCTTATTCCATGTACAACTCTGTCAATACCTAGCAAAACACCTGGCACAGAATAGGTGCTCCATAATATATAAGTCATTAATATAAAACTTGACCAAAAGGAAATGAATAGCCAATAAGCCCATACTCCATGCCAGGCCATGGGGATACACCAGCAGCTCACATCTTTAATTCCTTTTTTATGGAGCATGTGTTGTGTGGGGGATGCTAGGCCATGAGCTTCTGCTGAATACACACAAGTTAACAAAAGCCTAAATGATAAGACCCTTGGAGAGAGAAAACCAAAGTCTTTTAGGGAAAGGAGGTGGGGCAGATGTATCTGTGGAAAAGGATGTGGGGATGAGATGGCTGAGGAGGGAGTAAGATTTCATAGTTTTAAAATAGACTTAACCAACCCACTAATTATACATAGTGTCTGAAAACGCCAAAGCTGTTCTCTATTTGGAAAACAGCATTTGAAATAACTTGCAAGTAAGTATACTATTTTTTTTCTTTCTCATTTTCTGGAAGAGAATGTGTTGGCCATGTACATCACAACACTTATTAAGAAAGAATTTTAAAAGAAAGATATTGCCCATAATCCCACCAATGTAGTCTTCATATTTTCATGGTTTTTTCATTCCATTTGTATGCACATGGCTTTTCCATCCTTATAAACTTTACATAGATGCAATTTTTCAGTCTTTCTCTATCTTATTCTCTTGAATATTTTTCCTTGAGGCCCAATAGGCTTCATTATGATCATTGTCATTGGCCAAGGAAGCCTCCGGGGTTCAAGCGATTCTCCTGCCTCAGCCTCCCGAGTAGCTGGGATTACAGGCATGCACCACCACGTCTGTTTAATTTTGTATTTTTAGTAGAGACAGGGTTTCTCCATGTTGGACAGGCTGGTTTCGAACTCCCAACCTCAGGTGATCTGTCTGCCTCGGCCTCCCAAAGTGCTAGAATTATAGGCGTGAGCCACTGCACCTGGCCATATCTTTTCATTTATTTCTGTTTACTTCAATTTCTTTCATTGATGTTTTCTAGTTACCAGTGTACAGGTCCTTCACCTCCTTGGTTAAATTTATTCCCAAGTGTTTTGTTTGGTTAGGGGTTTTTTGGTAGCTATTGTAAGTGAGATTGTTTTCTTAATTTCCAAAAATCCCTTCTGCTGCTTCTATTCATTCCCTGGACCACTGGCAGCCACTTATCTCTTTACTGTCTCTGTAGTCTTGACTTGTCCAGAATGTCATATAATTGGAATCATATAGTATGTAGCTTTTTAGATTGGGTTCTTTCACTTAGCAATATGCATTAAGTTTCTTCTATGTCTTTTCCTGCCCTGAAAGTTCCTTTCTATTATTGTTGAATGCTGTTTCACTGTATAAATGTTCCATAGTTAGTTTGTTCACCTATTGAAGGATATCTTGGTTGCTTCCAATTTTTGGCAATTAAGAATAAAGCTGCTAAAATGTCAGTGTGCAAGTTTTTCTGTGGATGCTTTTGTTTTTTAACCAAGTGTACTTTATTAAATCATTTAAAAAAAATTTTTTTTTTTTATGTTGCCCATAAAAATTTTTTTTTTTTTTTATGTTGCCTCACTATGTTGCCCAGACCAAACTCAAACTCCTGGCCTCAAGTGACTCTCTTGCCTCAGCCTCCTGAGTAGCTGAGGCTGCAGGCCTTTTTTTTTTTTTTTTAATTGCTCTCAGTGTATCTTCTTTGATGAGATATCTGTTCAGATATTTTGCCCATTTTTAGGTTGGATTGTTTTCATACAATTAAGCTTTAAGAGTTTTTTGTATATGTTAAATGAAAGCCCTTTATATGTTTTGCTAATTTTTTCCAAGTCTGTGGCTTATCTTTTAATTTTTTTAACAGCAGCTTCTGCAGAGCAGTTTTTAACTTTAACAGAGTTCAAGTCATCAATTATTTTTCTTTCACAAGTTATGCTTTTAGTGTTTTACTTAAAAAATCGAAACCAAACCCAAGGTTGCCTTGAATTTCTTACATTCTAAGTTTTACGTTTTTGTGTTTTACATTTAGGTCTATGATAAATTTTGAGTTAACTTTTGTGAAAGGTTCAAGGTATCTAGATCCACTTTTTTTTGCATGGAAATGTACAGCTGATCACTACTGCTTGAAAAAGTATTCCTATGAAAAAGACTTTCTCCATGAATTGTCTTCTCTCCTTTGTCAAAGATCAGTTAACTATGATTGTGTTGGTTTATTTCTGGGCTCTCTGATATATTCTGCAAATAGTAGTCTTCATTATGGGAGCTTTATAGTAGGTGTTTAAGTTGGGTGGCATCAGCCTTTTACTTTGTTCTTCAATATTGCATTGGCCATTTTGAGCCTTTGCCCCTCCACATAAACTTTAGAATTACTTTGTTGCTATCCACAAAATAATGTGCTAGGATTTTGACTGAAATCACATTGAACTTTCGGACTAACGTGGGAAGAACTGACAATATTGAGTCTTCCTAGCACTGAAATGAAATAGCTATTTATTGAAATTATCTTTGATTTCCTTGATTAGTTTTGTCATCTTCTTCACATAGATCTTGTCATGTTTTATTAGATTTATACCTAAGCATTCCCTCTTACTGGTGCTAATGTGAATGGTGTTTTTTGTTTGTTTGTTTGCTTGTTGTTTGTTTTGCGAGACGGAGTCTCATTCAGTTGCCAGGCTGGTGTGCAGTGGCGCAATCTCGGCTCACTGCAACCTCCACCTCCTGGATTCAAGTGATTCTCCTGCCACAGCCTCCCAAGTAGCTGGGATTACAGGCGCGTGCCACCACGCCCAGCTGATTTTTTGTATTTTTAGTAGAGACAGGGTTTCACCATCTTGGCCAGGATGGTCTTGATCTCTTGATCTCGTGATCCGCCTGCCTCAGCCTCCCAAAGTACTGGGATTACAGGCGTGAGTCAGTGCACTTGGCGTGAATGGTGTTTTTAATTTTAAATTCAAATTTTTCATTGCTGGTATATAGCAAAGCAATTGGCTTTTGTATTATATATTAACCTTTTTTTGTATTAAACTTTTATCCTACAATCTTACTATAATTGCTTATAAGTTTCAAGAGTCTTTATGTAGATACTTTGATTTCATTCCAGATGTTAACATCTTTCATTGGTTACATTCTGTCTCCCATCTCCACATTCTGACTTTCCATTCTACTGGCCTTCTGAATTAATCTTGATGCTTATGTGTTAATAAAAAGAAGGAAAAATGGCCAGGAAGCCAGTCTCTGAAAAGACACCACAACAAAGTATCCTTTCCTAAATTCCCAATCATATCTGTTTAGATGTTGCAGGGAACAGGCACCCCATATCTGGCCATAAACAAAATCTCTGCAGCACTGTGACATGCTTGTGATGGCTACGATGCCCACGCTGGAGGTTGCTGGTTTACCAGCAAGGAACACCTGGCCCACCCAGGGCAGAAAACTGCCCAAGACGTTCCTAAACCACAAACAACAGCATGAGCGATCTGTGCCTTAAGGACATGTTCCCGCTGCAGAAAACAAGCCAG